ATTATTTCAGTGCAGATCCAAATATACTGTTTATCGCATCGCACCCATAACAGCCCAGTTTGCCCCTGAAGAAGAAAAGTCCATCTTTCGAAAGCGCTCTGATTATAGGGTTTTAATCATTTTATATCAAGACTTCTTGAACCTACGTGTTTTTCTGACATCATGATACATAACAACACTGTTATTTTATTCATGGGAGGTGTAGGGGGGAGGGCATTTGCCAAATACATTTTTTCTTTCTGTGGAATATAGTTTACACACGACATTCACAATAATTAAGTCAGACTTTTTGCCCCCCCTCCATAATTTTGATCTCATATCCCTCCTATGGATCTGTCATTAACTTTACGCTTATTTTACTGCTTTATTTGACCACTGGTTCCTTACAGACACTGTTGCTTTTAATGTGTCATCAGTTCGTACTAGGTTTGTCGTCTGAATCCCCATCCCACCAAACATGCTCGTCCTTTCAGCCGTGGAGGCGTTATAATGTGACGTTCAATCCCACTATTCGTTGGTAAGAGAGTAGCCCAAGAGTTGGCGGTGGGTGGTGATGACTAGCTGCCTTCCCTCTAGTCTTACACTGCTAAATTTGGGACGACTAGCGCAGATAGCCCTCGTGTAGCTTTGCGCGAAATTCAAAACAAACTTTTCATCTGATCACCTCAAGGTTCTCATACCGGCGCGGCTGGTCTATTCATTTGATTTTTACGTTACTAAATTCGCTAACGTTGTTACATAATCAGTTCGTATTGGGTTTCTCATCTGATCATCTCAGAGTTCCTTTACTTCTAGCGCCAACACAAGTGTAATTGATGGTCTTATTTCTCATTGGTTTATTTCTGATTCTGCATAATTAGCCATCATTTCCTGATGTCGCTAAGCTGATTATCCTATTGTATCTTTACTTTGATGGTTTATCTTTTTCCATTTACTCTGCCCAATATTAATATAATAATTTTGCTCACCGCACTGTCTGAGTAGAAGTGTAGTTGAGTGATCTGATTTCATAGTCCTTCTTTTTTTTTCTGTGTTAACTGTTCTACTCGAATTATTACCGCTTCTGGTTCGGTTATCTCATATTGCTAATATTGCTAAAAATATAAATTCATGCTTATCTTTACCTGCACCCCAGGTTATTTTCATTGTAACCTTCTCGAAGTTCCTTGTTTGTTTAACTCATTGTCACTTACTAACACTACTTGCCTGTTTAACTCATTGTCATTTACTTACACTACTTGCCTGTTTAACTCATTGTCACTTACTAACACTGCTTGTTTGATTAACTCAATGTCACTTACTAACACTGCTTGTCTGAGTTAGTCAGACAAGCAGTGTTAGTAAGTGACATTGCTTGTCTGACTAGCTCAGTGTCACTTACTAGCACTGCTTGCCTGATTAACTCAGTGTCACTTACTAACACTGCTTGTCTGATTAATTCATTGTCACTTACTAACACTGCTTGTTTGATTAACTCAATGTCACTTACTAACACTGCTTGCCTGATTAACTCAGTGTCACTTACTAACACTGCTTGTCTGATTAGTTCATTGTCACTTACTAACACTGCTTGTTTGATTAACTCAATGTCACTTACTAACACTGTTTGTTTTATTATTTCATTCATTATTTGACGCAACTTTCCTGATTCTCTTGATTCCACTTTGCAGACGCTGCTTGTCTGATCGGTGACGTTTCTAAGATTTTGGGGGAGGGGGCAGAATGGGTTAGTTGAAGGTAGAAAGAAGGGGGGTCAGGTGTTATTGAATACAAAAGAAATAGACTTTCTCTCCCTTTAAGAAACATCCATATAACTTTTTTTAATTACCTCCAGCTCTCTTTCCACAGCTTCTTAGGGGTCTCTTTCACACTGTCATTAAACCCATCCTATGTGTCTCATCTGATTGTAAATATTTATTCCAATTCAAGTTACATAATATGACTACCAAATCTGACAAAAAAAATATTGACCATTTCATGGGAGTGGGAGTGGCAATGTATGGAGAATTATAAAATCTTAAAATACTATATCCTGATATTTTAGATGGAAGAGCTACAGGGAAGAGTTTCCAATAATGGTCTGCCCTCCATGCTACGCCATCCCGCCATTTTACAGACGCTGCTGGTTTGATTATCTAATTTTTATTTTACATGTGTCTGTTTTATAATAGAGCAAAGCCTCAGTGGGTTATCTGTTCTGCCAACCCGGGGAATCGAACCGCGGATTTCAGTGTTGTAAGTCCGTAAACTTACCGCTATCCCACCGGGGTGCTTTACAGACGCCCTGAACCATTCACTCAGGCGAAAAAGAGTGCCACAAGTACGTCCCAAAGTATTAGTGAAATACGCACTTTTTTCGATCAAATTTATGTGTAAAATGCCAGAGAAATATATAAAAAGGGGGGTGAGTCCCCACCTTTAATTTAAATTTTTTCAACATTGCATGAACACATCTGTAGAACTGGACACATCTGACAACTAAAAAGTATTCCTAGACAAAGTTTTCAACGTGTTCATCGTTACGCTGGTGTTGTAAAAGGGAGCCCTACTGAATGTAGTGTAGTTTTAAAATGATCTTTTGTTCTTTGACTTGATATATAGGAAATAACAATTAAGTATTAAATGGACTTACTTAGCAGCATTCTCGTTGTTATTCCAGTATTACTAGTTATGATGCCCTGAGATGGGGAGGGGGGTAGAAAACAAGTAACAGCTGCCTTCCCTCTAATCTTTCACTGCTGAATTAGGGACGACTAGCACAGATAGCCCTCAAGTAGCTTTGCGCGAAATTTAAAAAGAAACAAACAATTTCGTTGCCATTTTGATGTACTTCAGTATAACCATTTACCGGGAAACAAGAATAGGCTCGCTAACTGGAGGTCTGACAAGTAACGACTAGACTATCTGTACTATTCCCACTGCGAGTTATAGATCCCCGGTTTTTTGGAGTTATAAGTGTGTAAACTTACCATCAAGGGACAACAAGTAACACGGTGTAGGTCGACCCACCAGGGGACGTCAACATTAAGTAACATAATATGATTTTGACTGTATGAACTTCAGCTAGTCAAAAACTCAAATGCACAACTAAGGTCTTTAATATCAACATAAAGCTGAAACAAACATTATACACACACACAAAAAACAACAACAACAACAAGGGCAAATATGTGTAATGATTGTTTTGGGCTGGAGAGAGAGAGAGATGAAGTGAAACCTTAGTGAGTTCTCTCTCT